ATTTATTTATTTATACTGTGTGTTCACCTCTCATAGTTAGATTTCTTTCTGTCACCTCACTTGAACATTTTAAATGACCTAAACATACTGTGTCTCACAGTGTATTTCTGCAGGACAGCTGTGCTCTAGAGCAGCGCTCTCCAACCTTTGTGGCACCAGGGACCGGTGCTCCTATGAGAACCTAATGCCTGAAGATCGGAGGCGGAGCTGAGGCGGTGATGCTGGCGCTGGGGAGCGGCTGCACACACAGATGAAGCTTCACTGGCTCACCCACTGCTCACCTGCTGTATGGCCCAGTTCCGAACAGGCCATGGACCAGTACTGGTCCTGGGCCCAGGGGTTGGGGACCCCTGCTCTAGAGGATGTCCCAAAGCCCAGACTCAGGTATTCAAACACTCACATGAGTGTTCCACATGCACTTCAAATTCAGCATGTTCTAGACCAAAATAATCATCTTCCTTCCAACTCCGCCCCCCGCCCCTTCCATTTCTGGTCTTGGCGCATGGACAGCTACCTGCTGCCCTGCACACGCTGGAACCCTTATCCCCACTTATCCCCACTCCCCGCTTTTGCCAGGCTTCACTATTATCAGTCGGTTCTACCTCTTGTGTGTGTGTCGTGTGCAGACCCTCCCCGGCCCCCTCACCGTTCCCATCTTTGTTCATTTTCTCATCTCGACTGTGGTGGAAGTATCCTAATTTGTGGTCTTTTTGCTGTCATGTTCATTTGTGTCCATTCAGTCCGAAGCAACTAATGCAGCCGGAATGATATTTATCAAAAGCAAACCTGATCGTGTTCTTTCCCTGCTTGAGGTCTTCGTGTGGCTTCCGTCGCCTCCGGCTCCATTTCTCAAAGGCCGTGCTCACCCACGGGTGTGCACGGATGATGTTGGGGGGTGTGTGGAAGAACGTTTTATTTTTATAGTTACGTATTCATTTCAATACACATTGGAATGAATAGCATAAAACATGTGATTTTGTGGAGATTGTTCTTCAGGACAAAAAGTGAGTCGACTCAAAGAAAATTTTAAAGAAACAATGGCACAGGCTAGAGTAATAGCACTGGTCAAGTAAATAAATTATAGACTCCTTAATATGGCTTTTAAAAAACGAACCTTCATGATCTAGCTTAAACTTTTCCTTTCTAATCTCCAGAAGGCGCCCCCTTCCCGTTACGCAGCCATATAGCTGTACCGAGCCTCCTCCAGGCCCCCAGATCAGCCTCTATTTCTCCACCTGCATCTCAGCAAGCTATTCCTTTGCTTGTACCACCTCATCCTCGCTTCCGGCAGGTGATGTGTAAACGCATGAGATTCCCCTCCAAGAGCCTT